TGGGAAGCGCTGCCACTAGTATCCGCTTGTGTCACGGTCCTCCGGGGAGGTGCCCGCACGTGCCCACGCAGCAGACGCCGTGCGCACCTTTGTCACGTGTGCTCGTGGCTTTCTCGAGCTGTTCAGTGATGGTCAGTTTGTCTGCCTTTTCCAACCGACTGTGAGCTCCGTGAAGGCAGGATCCACATCTTATTTATCTTTTTACTCACAGTGCCTGCCGCACACCAGGCCCCGAAGAATGCCTGTTGAATGAATGAATGAGCTAGTGTGTGACTGGATCATCACATGGGCGAATGAACGACTCCAGCCCGTCAGCATGTCCGCCTGCGTCGTCAGCTCTAAAATAGAGCTCGAATCTGCTCGTAGCTCTTCGTAGCCACAGGCCCAGGCCACGTACGGGCGTCTCCTGCCCAGGCGACGCAGGAGTGAAGAGGCCCACCGGTCTCCTCCCCTCTGGTTCTGCCCTCCTCTCACTCTGCAGATGTCACCTTTGAAGGCACATCCTCCCGGCTGAGTCTGTCCTCCCTCCCGTTCGTCCTGCCCCCGTCTCCACCATAGCACTGATGGCTGTGTGTTCATGTACCTCCTTGGTCTCCTTCCTGCTACACTCTGAGCCCCTTGAGGCGGGGCCACATCTCTTTACTGGTGCCCACTGGTTCGGGGCACGCTGCCCTGGACGCGGGCGGGCGCAGCCATTGAGTGAGCCGTCCGTGAGCCAGTGTAATTGACACCGGCACCCCTAACAGCCTGGGCCCTGAACCCGTAAATCCATGGCTTTCGGCAATGAAGGTACTTTCTCATTCACGCCACAGCCCGTTGCGGATTGGGTGGCTCTGGTGGCCTGCCTTCCTTCAGTGGTTCTGCACCTCCACATGTGGCCAGAGGCGTGGAAGAGAGAGGGCAGGGCAGGCCGCAGGGCAGGCTCCTTGTTGTGGCCGGGCCTGGACGTGGCTCCCATCCCACTGTAGGGGTGCCAGGAGGTCTTGTCTCCCTTTGCACCCAGTCTCTTCAGAATTGAGCACGGGAGAGACTCTCGTAGCCAGAGGGCCTTAACGTCGGGGTCGTTGGGAGTCTAGTCAGTGTTCCAGAATTCTCTAGCCAGATGCATTGTCAGATCATCTGACTCTGAAGCAGCCATCTCTGGATAGGGCCTGAGCTGCTTGCTGCTCCTGATGGAGTGAACCCTCTGTTTATTTTAGAAAACACCGTGATAGTCTTAGATGAAAATAAAAACCCTGGAAATGCAAAGTCACCCGCCCCCCACCACAGCTCACGCCGAGGGTGGCTCCCGGGGAAGCTTCCCGGGGGAGGCGGGATGTAGCTGAGAGGAACAACCCAGGGAAGCGTTTGTTCTAGAAACTGTAGCTCATCAACTTGTCCAGAACATCCCATCGTTGTCAAAACAGCTGCTCTTAATTTAATGGCATCTTTATCTGCTTGATGCTCAAAATAAAACTAACCTTTTCCGGAGGGGAAAAACGACTCCCGTTAAAACAGTCCCGAGTGCTCTTCTGCCCAGAGAGGACTAAGCCCCGCACTCCCGGTTATTAGTTCTAGGCCGTACCTGACGGTAACATTACACCGGGCACGCTGCACAAAACGGCAGCAGGGCCCGGGCGGCAGGGACTCGTAAGTGGCCGCCAGAGGAGTCTGGCCTCCTCCGTGAGCCGAGTCCATCCAGGCCCATCACGTCTCATGCTGCGTTTTGGCTGCGGCCCCAGGAGCCCGATCAGAAAACTCACAAACACTCCCTGGCCCTTTAAGCGCTGGACCCCACCCAGTGGGGCAGGCCCTCCATGGATCCCGGCCTCTTCCTGGCAGCCCCATGTGACAAATGGGGTCTCAGAAGGACCAGCTCCTTGTCTTCCTTCCCTTGGCACGCCATCTCTGCTCTCCACCCCCTGCCCAGAGGGACTCGGGCCCAGGGAGCTGCCTTGCAGGCCAGCCTTCCTCCCTCCCACTCCCTCATCAGGGGTCCTTGTCATGTCTCGTCTGGACTTGGCAACAGCCTTCAAACCGTTCTCCTTGGCGGCCTGCCTCGCCTCCCCTAAAGCACCCTCACATTTGTTCATTGTTGCAACAAATATTTATGGGGCGTCTTGTGAGCTCCAGGCACTGTGTTAGGCTCTGGTGGTTCAGGGCTGAACAAGACAGAGGGCCCTGCCCTCCTGGGACTCACCACTGAGTAGCGGAGGCACACGATGAACCAGTGCGATCGATCCTTCCAGGCAGCGGCAGGGGCTGTGCAGCGCCTGGGCCGCCTCAGCCGGGTGTCCATGGGCCGCTTGGAGGCCTGAGTGGCAAGGCCTTCCAGGCCAAGGGAATAGCCCAATGCCACCAGGAGACAGCATGCAGGACACGGGAAGAAAGTCAGGCGGCTGACGCATTGACGGTGTTGGGGTGGGTGTTGAGGATGGGGACGGGGTGACGTGAGGTGAGGCTGGCAGGGTGCACTGGGGCCCCATCGTGAAGGGCCACTGTGAACCATGCGAGGGTCCAGGCATGCGTGCTGGGAGCGGGGCAGAGTTCATGGGAACCACTGGAGAATTCTAAGCCTGCGGTTTAGAGGGCCCGTAGATTTTCCTTCTATAAATTCAAGAATGTTCTGGATCGAGGGCGGCTCTCCTTGCTTGAGGGTAAAGACCTGGGGCCCTGCTCAGCCGCCTGCCAGTTCCGAGCCCCAGCGCACGTTCCTGAGCCTGCCCGAGCCTCGGTTTCCAGCCCCAGACGTGTTGTGAGGACGCGGGGCGTGGAAGGCCCTGAGCGCAGAGCGGGAACGAAGACCCCACAGGAATCGCTGCTCACTCTGAACGGCTCGGCTGGCAGGTGCAGACTGCTGGCCTGTGGGTTTTCTCAGGAGCCGGCTGGGGCTTCCAGGGACCGGCTAGCCGAGGGGTCAGTGCGTGGGAGGGACCGGGGTTCCTCCACGGTGGTAACTTCCTGCCACGTCGTTGTCACCCAGCCCAGCCCCACAAGTCCTTTCCTGTCCTGTAGCGGGGCCTCTCCAGCGGTCCTGGAGGGGTTTGTGCAGATTAAAAACCAGGCTTAATTAGCTCAATTCTGCACAGACCTGGCATATTAACCACCTTCCCAGGGAGGAGCATCTAATCGCTCAGTGATGGGTTGAAACTCGGAGGCCACGGAGCAGAGCCTGCCATTCGGGCCGGGGGGCGGACCCCGGGGGGCTCCCACTTGGGCCAAGGACCTGCAGCTCTCCTGGCTGATGCCACTGCTCTTCCCACTCGGTGTACCCGCCGCCAGGCTGTAGGCAACTTCCGCCCTGGGACAGAGCGGCCTGGCGGTGAATTGGAGTGGCCAGCGGCCGTGTTCGGTGGCGGTCACCCCTCTGGAGGCAGGTCCTCTCAAGGCAGCTCATCGGGGTGGCTCGGGGCTGGATGGCCTTGCCACTCCTGTACCTTCCTCCCCCCTGGTGCTCAGAGGAGGGTTGCCATGAAATTTGAATTTCAGATAAACAATGAATAATTTCTTAGTTTCAGTGTGTCCCAAACATTGCTGGAAAGGTTTTATTGTGTGGTGCAGACTTGAATACTAAAAAATTATTGAATTATGAATTATTGAATATTGAGTTATGAAAACTGAAAAATGATTCATTGCTTATCTGAAATTCAGATTTCACTGGGCATCCTGAATTTTTATTTGCTAAATCTGGCGATACTTAAGAAAGAATCTCCCAGCCGAGCTGGGGTCCTCGGCAGGGCCTGTGGGGACCCTCGTCAGAGGCCAGGGCGCGTAGTGGGCAGGTTCTCAGGTGCCCCTGAGCGGCCTCGTTTGACAGACTTGCTGAGCCCTGCCTGGGGTGGCCCCTGTGCTGGCATCAGGGGTAGGGAAGGTGAGGGCCCCACTCTATCTGTGGGACCTCGTGGGTGAGCCACCAGCTCCTCTCTAGGCCGCGATCTCATTTGTCATGGGAGATTAGTCCGAGTGAGCTTCTGTCCTGGAGAGGACAGATGACCCTGTCTGTTCCTCTCCTGCCCTCTCCCCACTGTCCCCTCGTTCACCTTCTTGGCTTTCAGTCCCGGAGTCTCACTTCCTGAGCGAAGGCCTTGATAGCAAGGAAACCCTGCCCCCCGCACTGGCCAGAGTTCCTGTCTTATAAACCAAGGGCCCTCCAGTGCAGACTTGAATGAGTGAGACAGGCTACCCTATCCCTGGGCCCAGGGCAGCGTGAAAATAGGGGCCCCTTGTTCCAAATCGTTAAGAATTTCAGGACAGGGGCAGCAGATCATCAGTCACACAGGTGCAAGTTCCTACCCTGTGTGACTGCACAGGGCACAAGCCTGGGAAGCTGGCCCTGCCTGCGAGGGCCAAGGAGACATGGGGGTGGGGGTGAGCAGGAGGGGCAGAGCCCGCTTGGACCTGCAGCCCTGTGCTTGCCTGGGGGGCCACACTGCACCGCCCCGCCCTGCCCCCCGTGAGCCTGTGGGTAGGACCGTGCTGCTGGGTCTCCCAGTTTTTCATGAAAGGTGATATTTTTGTTTGTTTATTACTACGGTCTTAAATAGTGGAAAATTTATATTTTGGAAGATTCCTGAGGAGGCAAAATCAAGCACCGTCTCTAGAGGGTGGCGTTTAGGGACATTAATACTTATACACTGACTGGGATGGTCACTTTATTTGTGTCTCCCCGCTGGCCCAAGACCTCCACCAGGGTCACAGCGGCGATCACTCAGGTTCCTTGTTCTGTCCTTGGTCCCCAGCAACAACCACGTTGGCACATTGTAGGTGCTCACAAAATAAGCCTCAGTTGCCAAGACTTCATGGGAACACGCTGTAGGTTGTTTTATGAACATGCTTTCTCCACGTAGTGACGTCACGAGCATCTTCCCTGTTATTAAATGTGGTCACACGTGTCAAGCACACGGCAAACGCCTCGTAAACAGCTGTCCAGGCGGCGGTGACGCATCCATCGCATGTTCTGGGAGGCAATTTTGGATAGGTGAGGAAAGCATCCTCGACGCACCGCCTGTCTGTCTTCTCAGGATGCCAAGTTCGTGGAGGAACGAAGGAAGCAGCTCCAGGACTACCTGCGCAACGTCATGAACAAGGTCATCCAGATGGTCCCCGAGTTTGCCGCCAGCCCCAAGAAAGAGACCCTCGTCCAGCTGATGCCCTTCTTCGTGTAAGTACGATCCACGGATCGGGCCCCACCCGGCACGTCCTTCTCTCTCCCTTCCGTGGTTGGGCAGCGAAGTGTGTCCGTGTCCTGGACACCCTGGGACCCAGGTGTGACCCAGGAGCTGCGGGAGGTGCCAACAGAGGGACGTGGGCCATGGCGCTTTGGACCCTGAGGGGCTCGTGAAAGAGCGAGAGTGCCAGTGAGCACTGCTGATTTGAGGTTTGCAGGTAAGTCTAGGTTTGGGTTTTATACTTTCGTACATCTTCATCTAAGAAAAGATTCATTTTCTGTGCAGCTCACAGGTATTCTGGAGCTAAAATGCTCTCTCAGTGTCTTCAACTTGGTTAGTGAACCAAGGAAAAGTTTCTACAGACTCCCACCGGTACTGACTTAAATGATTTTCATGTTAATGTTACTCATGTATGAACGAACTTAAACCGGGGTATGAATTCCTTGTTCTTACATCTCTTATAAAAGTGAAAAATCTAAAGGAGTTTATATGTCAGGCACATACAAAGTCGTTACAATTCAGAGTTGTTGATTGATGCGCTGGATGCTGCCATTTTTCTGAGAGCAAATCCTTGCTCGTGACGGTATGTGACAGGGTCTTCTGTGTTTGTCCCATGCCACGCCAGTGTGTCTGTCTGCTGACTCCATTCTCCCCAGCTTTTCTCGGGTCACATTGGCTGGAAACATCTGTTTGTGCAGCACCTTGGGGCAGGTGTCTGTCACTTGATGTCACCACCTGGTCACCGATGCGTTCCCTCTGTTCTAATGAGTCTTTTATCAGCCTGAGACAGTTACATCCTTGGAATTTTGAGAACTGGAATGCTGAAGAGGTACTTGGTGTTTATAGAGTCTTTGGATGCTTTAGAGAATAATTCTATTATTTCCGAAACATTACCATCATAGTGGGAACACCAGATGGAAAAGTCCACGCAGCAGACTGGTGGCTTCCCCGAAGTGGGATGGGGACTTGTCGTTAAGAAGCGCTCGTCTGGTCTGTGTGACGTGCTGGGGTGAAGTAAGAATTTCCTTTCCCTGCAGCTCTTTAAAACGGTTCCCTGTGGGTCTGGGGACCCGTCTCATTCTAACAGTGACGCGCTCACTCAAAACGGGGGGCTCGTTTCTGCTTCTGAATGTGGGGTCGAGCCTTTGGCGTCACACTTCCCGGCATTTCCGGGTCGAACTTCCAAGCCGACACTCAAGGGCAGGGCCGCCGCTCTGGCCTCCTAGGCCCTTTGAAATTGTAGCCAACCTGATTGCTTGTGTTTTTCTAATTGTTTTAAGACTTTTGTGAGACGATAAAAGTGCATTGTGCTGCCTGTGATAAAAGACACCTTTTCTTCCAAATAGCATATACCATTTTACTTTTTCCGGCAATTTGTGATGCCAGGGCCCAGACCTCACAGTTTCAGAAGTGCCATGCTAGATGACACGAGTTCGCTTTCTTCCTTTAAATGCAGCCCCCTGGCCCTTGGCGCGAACCGAGTCACGTGCATTTGGGCTAAATTCCCTGATGAAAACGGCCCTAGAGGGTTGGTCCTATGGCCTGGCGCCGAGAAAGGCTGCCTGCCACGCGTTAGAGCCGGAGAAGACAGTGACCCACACAGGCCAGCTGGTGGCCGGGCATCGCTGTTCTCGTGATTACCAAATGTGAGCCCGCGGAATCTTGAAAACCGTCAGTGAGGGCGCCTCGGTGCGTGGGCCACCTCAGCCGCGCTGGCCACCGTCCAGCAGAGCTGGGAGAGGAACCCTTTGCGTCTAATTCGCACAGAGAACATAAGGTTCAATTTCATGGGCTTTAAGCAGCACAGAGAATTTCGGTAGGAGACTATGGCAGATGACACCAGATTTCCGATGGAACCTTGGTCTGGCCCCCAGCTGAATTAAACTGCTTTTCTCCATTGGCTCTCCTCGCAGTTCCGAATTAAGCTGCCCTCCTCGCCTTGCCTTTTTGAGCGAGATGGGGTACAGGTTGAAATTTGTGGATCGTATTCATTTGAGGGTAATGGAAGATGAGCTGGCAAATCTCCACGAGGTAATTTCCTGTCTGTATGCCCAAGAAAACAGAAAGATTGGTTGGTGCCTTGGCTCAGGAGCTCACCAAAAGAGATTTCTAGTTTAAAAAAAAAAATCTCTCTTGGCTAGGGAAATAAACCCCAAAACGCATAATTTAAAAAAAAAATCTTGACAGATTTCCTCGGCTCTTTCGAAAGCTGATTCAAGGCCCTAACGGTCCATGACGTGAGCCGCGGAACACACGGACTTGTTCGCTAGGCCGGTGCCGCCGTGCCCATCGCCCCCCGTTTTGTGAGCACTGATTATAGTCCTGGCCTAACGTTTGACCTGCCGTATCTCCCCGAGAGCCTATTAGGTGGGCACCATGTCTCCATTTCATTCGGTGGAAACTCACAAAGTTACCAATGAAAGGGTAATTCCACAGATCCCAGCCAATAATGACAAGTGAGGCTCTGAGAGGTTCCCTGGCCGACCCCAGAGTTACCCACCAGCACACGGGGACCCTGGGCTGTTTGGCACCATGGCTCACTTTGCGGGGCATGGGTGACAAACACGACCTGTGGATTGAGCCTGACTCTCTGACCTGTTTTATTTGACTAATCCAAGTGGGGTTTTGTTATTTTTCTTAAAGTATTGCCAACATAAAAAAAAATTAGGCATCAGATTTTTAAAACTTAGATATCAAGCTTCTCTTGAAAAATGAGACTCAGTCACACCTTAATATGGACCGAATGTTTGTGCCCCGCCCCTCGCCCTGCAAAAAATATTCATATGTTGAAGTCCTACCCTCCAATATGCTGGTATCTGGGGCCTTTGGAGGGCGATTAGGTTTGGATGCAGTTACAGGGTGGGGCCCATGGTGACACTGGTACCCCATAAAGAGAGAGAGAGAGATCAGAGTGCCCTCTCTCTGCCTTGCGGGGACACAGTGGGAAGGCAGCCATCTAGAAGCCAGGAAGGGGGCTTTCACCTGGAACCGAATCTGCCAGCACCTTGACCTTGGACTCCCAGCCTCCAGAACTGTGAGGAATCAATGTCTATTGCTTAAGCCGCAAGTGCTATGATATTTTGTTAGGGCAGCCGGGACAGGCGACGACCCACTTCCATTCCCGCCCCACCGCACCTGGCCACAGGGGACAGCTGAAAGCGCTGCCCTGTCCCCATGGAGCCCCCTACTCCGTCGTCTCCAGGACACTGAGCTGAGCCTTCTCTGCCATCTGTGTTGGTATTTGGCTGTTCTTCTCATATACTCAGGTGATGCCATACATTTTCATTACCTGCTGGGCCCCTGTGGACGCCTGACTTTGCAGTCCTGCCCCTGACCCACTGCTCTGCTGGCCTCTCCGTACAGACTTTGGGTGTGAGGACCAGACGCTGCGTGTACCCATGATGCGTCTGGCTCGCCCTCTGTGCTCCCACGTGTGTTCCGTGAGCCAGCCCCCTGCCAGGCTCCAGTAAAGGCGGTCCCATTCCATCTTGGGGTGTGAGAGGAAAGATGAGCAGGGGAAAAATAGGTAGCAGGTAGAATTTGCTCATGTTTTCTTTTCCTCCCCGCCCTCCGCTATAAATATTCCTTAAAACTTTCAGGCTCGTGCAGCCTAGAGCCCAGTATTAGATGAGTCCTGCTTGCACACACACACACTTTTCCATTTTTTTGTTTCTTTTTACCGTGTCAGTATTTCACTGTGTTCTGCAAGGGGCATCATGACTTGCAAGTACTCCGCCATCTGTACAAATCCGAGAGTTGAAGAATCAGCGGGTTGAATTTCTTCTCCAAATCTCTCCGCGCGCCCGCCGCCTCCCTTGCTAACGCCAGCAGCAGTCTGAATTAGAAAGTAGGGCAGTAGGAAGTGGGCCATTTCTTTTCCATTTTGAACTCTGTTTATCAGTCTGGCTCAGGTGGGAACCAGGGCCCGCCCACCGAAGTGGCGAGCAGATGGCAGTCTCCCCAAACCCCGCTCCTGTTCGGAGCACCAAATTCTTCGCATCGCCCTGCCTTTTCAGGGGAAGGTGTCCCCCGAGACATGACACGTGGCAGACGTTAGCAGATACTGGTGGAAATATCGGATGCACTTTGGAAAGCACGTTAATGAAGGGAGGCCTGGATTCCAAGAATTCATTCTGCGGAACTGGCCTGCAGATCAGCGCAGGCTTAAGTGATCTGCTGTGCTGTCGATTTAGCGCGTTATTAGAATGTTTTTCGTTTTGTTTTGTTTGTTTTTCACAGAATAGTTTGTCCTTGGGAAATGTATCACGGTCTGCTGGTCCTTGAGGGCAGAGAAGTTACGGGGGTGGAAACCAAAGTGACGCAGGTCACAGTGTAAATTCCTAACTGGATTTTCAGAAAATTCGGTCGACGTTTGCCCCACTCCCCACAACCATCTGCTGCCACATTCGCTCTTAAAGCGAAATATGTTTTTTGTTGAAATGCGAGCTGCCAGGTTCTCCCAGTGAGCAGGGGTTTAGCTCAGGGATGAAGTGTTCCAACCTGTGCACCACCAGGGGTCACTTGCACCTAAGTTGACACCATTTGCTTTTGCAAGTCACTGCCGGCGGGGATTTCGGGGTTCCTTCCCAGGAACCTTTAACTCACATCGCTCTTGTGGACCGGCCAAAATTCCCACCGCCAGAAAGGGTGCAGACCTCAGGCAAGGTCTGAGATGTGTGGCGAGACTGGCAGGCTGGTTAGGTGCGGACAGCGTTTTAAAATAAAATGTTTTAAAAAGCAGAAATACAAATATAATTAAATATAAAATAATTTCGTAAATGTGTATGGTGATAGATGTTAACCAGACTTATTGTGATCATTTTGCAACATACGCAAACATCAAATCACTGTGTTTTACACTTGAAACTAATGTAATGTTATATATCAATTACATCTCAATTTTAAAAACTTTTTTTTTCTGATAGGTGGAATTGTGGGTTATCTCTCGCCTGTTTCCAGTTTTAAAATTTTTCTCATAACATGCATTGCTTTT